TTCAGCCCAAGAAGTGGCCGAAACATAAAATATCTTCATTTATTGGGAGTTCAGAACATGAATCAAATGTTAAGACATGAATCTTCATAGTATCAAGAGCTCTGGCCCAAGAGAGGTCAAAAAGACAAAGAACTTCAAATTATCAAAAGCTCAGGCCAAAAGTCAAAAAAGGTCGTCATAAAGGGAGGAATCCTAATTGTAGCACGAGTTCAGACCCAAGGGTACGACTAAAAGGCATGTATCTTCATTGCATCAGGGTCTCTGACCGAAGAAGTGGTAAAAAACTCAAATATATTCTTGTCAATAAAGCAAATATCGTCATAGTATCAGGAGGAGAGATGGATCGGTAAATAACTTCACTGTCTCAAACCTTTGACCGAAAAACAGGTTAATAAGACAAAAATCATCTTAATATCAAGAGCTCAGACCAAATAGAGGATTAAAAAGGCAAGGATCTTCTGAGTATCAGGAGTTCAGGCCGAAAAAGTAGTTAATAAGGCACGGATCTTCATCTTCGATCTGAGCTCTTGATGGTATGAAGATCCTTAGATTTTTTAGATCCTCTTAGGCCTGCGTTCCCGATACTATGAAAATTTATGTGGTGATTAGTGACCGTTAGTCGATGATGATTCAGAAATCGTGAGATGCGGTCTGGTGTGATGTAGGTTTAAGAAAAACATCTCAACAAGACACGCAAGAATGGCACACTTTCGCAGAAAACAAACACTTTGAGCCCTGAAGATGATCTCAATAAAGATCGAAACGTTGGCACGGCAAAGAAAATGTTTTTCTGAAACCTACATCACACCAGACCGCATCTCACGATTTCTGAATAATCAACTATGAAGATTCTTATTTTATTAACCTCTTCTCTGGTCTGAGCTCCTACTACATTAAGATATTTTATTTTGTGGGCACTTCTTCGGCCTAAACTTGTAATCCTTAGAAGATGCTTGCCTTTTTGACCTCCATTTTGGTTTGAGCTCTTGATACAATGAAAATAGTTGCCCTTCTCACCCATTCTTTGGCCTGAGCTCCTGATACTTAAAAGATACTTGTCTTATTGACCTCGTTGGCTTAAGCTCCTGATACTATAGATACCTTACCTTTTTCACCTGCTTTTTGGTCTGAGCTCTTGATACAAAGATGATATTTCCCTTTTCAACTGTTCTTCAGCCTGAGTTCCTGTTACTCAGCAGATTATTGCCTTATTGACCTCCTCTTTGGCTTGAGCTCCTGATACTAAGGATACCTTGCCATTTTGACCCCCTCTTTGGTTTTAGCTCTTGATAGAAAGAAGATATTTGCTCTTTTCATCTGTTCTTCCGCCTGAGTTCCGGATACTTAAAAGATTCTTGCCTTATTGATCTCCTATTTAGCCCGATCTCCTGATACTATGGATACCTTGCCCTCTGACCTCCTCATCTAAGTACCTGATACAATGATGACCATTGTCTTTTTTATCTTCTTTTTGGCCTGAGCCTTGATGGTATGAAGATTCTTGTCCTCTTGAACTCCTGATCAATCTGAACTAATGTGTATTGTAGTTCCCTGGTTTGGTTTACCTAGCTCCTTTCTATTCTGCGCTCCTCTCCATTGAGAAACTTTGGTCGATTATTCTTTTTTTTTTAGTTTTGTAAATCTTCTCTACACCCACGTCCGTGAGCATACCTTCCGCCAAATAATTTCCCCAGGCCATTTTTGTCGCTGGTCATCCTAGAAAATGGGGGTTGGCTTTCAAAGGTCCAGAAGGTAGAAAACACGGATGCGTATCATTGGGATCGGCCCGCATTTGTGCGTAAAGGTGGGAGTCGAATCGATACGACGTTCAGTTGGGGTGGAAGTGGAAAACAAAGCGGGCTACATCTGTCATCACCGGAGGCCGAATAAGGCCGACGTTTCACCGACAGGCGATGTCAGGAGTGGGACGCCCACAATCTCTGCCTGTGACAATTGAGACGTTCAAGATCCGTCATGGGGCGGGAAGTCCTCTTTTTTATGTTCTTCTTAATCAAATCGATCCTTCTTTTATGAGTACTAGGTCATTGACTGTTGATAAGATTTCTTTCCCTGGTCGTTTTTTTGCTTCAGGCTGTCTTTATTCGAAGATGGTATTGGTGGCTGTCATTTCATAACCTATAAATGGGGTCATCGCGATATGTAGATGTTTTCACAGATTAGCCTTCTCTGTAGCAGTGAGTTTGCCACAGGTGAGGGTTTTTTTTAACATAAGACTACCATTTCTAGCCCCGCAGAATTCATCCACTTCTCCTTTTGTCGTTTTTGGATCCATCCTGTAAAATTTGTTTTCGTTTCATGAATAGGTCCACGGCCTAAATAGGGTCCTCCTCTGGCCAGTGTCTCTGCCTTTTCATCACCCAAAATTCCTTTGTGTCCTGGAACCTAAGGTATCGTCGGTTGTGGTGCTTCCCCAAGGCTTTTTTGCCAGTCTTTTCTAAGGCAGTTGCATGTGTTTCCCCTTGAAATATCGAGGTGCACTTTAGAGCCGTCTATATCGTCATCACCATCATCTAGAGCTACACACGTTTTATTTAGTCAAAGGATTTCTTATTGATGAACAACATGGTTTTTCTAAGGGTCCGTCCACATTAATGGCTTAGAAGAAGTTTCTGTTAGCGTTCTTTGAAGATGGTGATTCAATTTATGCTGACATTTCCAAAGTTTGGACGCCCCCTTACGATTCGTTTCCGCAAATAATGTAAAACCGTTAATCTCTCACGGGGTCCCCTCACGCATTTTTAATGTATTCGACCGTCGTGCAGCCATTCGTAGGAGGAAGTGGGTAAGTAAATTATAATTATATAATACACCCTGCCTTAATTGACCTTTCCATTGCTGAATCTCCCCCATTTTTGTACTAATTTTATTGTTAATTATTTTGTTTATTTCGTCTTGATTATTTACTTTTTTTCTCCTTTTTATCAACGGCATGATTATACTATTTTTCTTTAAAAACACTTTCACTACTCTCTGTTAAATAATTATCTCTCAGATTCAATTATTGGTTCGACTAATTTTATGTTTGCACGATTACTTAAAAAAAAACTTAAAATTTAAAAACTAACTAAATAATTATCTTTCAGACTTAATTATTGCTTTACAATGTGGCCAATTTTGTCTATGACATCATTGTATAAAAAAAGAAAAAAACATCTTCACTCATTCTCTGGTAAGTAATTATCACTCAGCCTGAATTATTACTTTATAATTTGCCCTATTTTATTTTTGCATCATTATATACAAAATATAAAACAAAATTAATTAAAAAACACCTTCACTCACTTCCTGGTAAATAATTATGTCTCAGAATCAATTATTGTTTTTATTTCGACCAATTATGTGTTTGCACGATTATATTTTAAAAAGTTTAAAAAAAAATTGACTGGTAAATAATTCTCTCTCAGATTCAATTATTGCTTTACAATGTGTCCCATTTTATCTTATTACATTAAAAAAAAGCCTTAACTCATTCTCTGGTAAATAATTATCACTCAGCCTGAATCATTACTTCATAATTAACCAATTTTGTTTTTCAAACATTAAATATATGGAAAAACAAAGTAATCAATTAATTAAAAAATACCTGTACTCACTCCCTGGTAAATACTTATCTCTCAGACTCAAATTGCTTTATAATTTGGCCTATTTTGTTTTTGCATCATTATATACAAAATATAAAACAAAAATGATTTTAAAAAACCTTCACTCGTTCCCTGGTAATTATTGCTTTTATTTCGACCAATTTTCTGTTTGTACGATAATATTTAAAAAAGTAAAAAAAAAAAAAATAATAATTGATTGGTAAATAATTATCTCTCAGAATCAATTATTGCTTTACAATTTGCCCAATTTTGTTTTTGTATCATTATATTAAAAAAACTTCTGTCACTCTCTGGTAAATAATTATAAATGGACTGATTTTCTGTTTGCATCATTATATTAAAAAAATAAAAACTAACTGTCAAATAAATATCTCTTCGTCTCAATTATTGCTTTATAATGGGCCCAAATTTACTTCTGCATCATTATATAAACATTTAAAAAACCTCACTCATTCTCTGGCAATTAATTATTTCTAACACTAAATAAATTATTACTTCCTAATTCACCCAATTTGGGTTTGCATCATTGCATATATTTAAAGAAATTAATTAATTACTCAATTAATTATTTTAAAAACTGTCATCTCCTTTTTGTTAAATAATAATCAATTTAAAAATTATTATTCCTGTTATTAGAAAAATTATTCCTCAGACTCAATTGTCATTTCATAAATTGGCCCATTTTGTTTTTTCATCATTATACAAAAAATTTAAAAATTTAATTAGTTAAGAAATTTTTTCACCCTCTAGTAAATAATTATTCTTCAGATTCAATTATTATTTCATTATTTACCCAATTTTATTTCTTGTGAGTTGATTAATAGCAGATAATATTTTCATGTTTTTTTAAAATATAAAGTAAAAACATGTTTATTAACATTTACTTTGGATATTTCTGCAAATTACCCACATCATCAGAAACCTATGTTATTTGCAAAAATGCCTAAACGTAACATTAATATTAACATTTTATATCAATTTATTAAAAGCTTTAGCTTTATATTGGGTTTTATAATATATGACAACCTTGTATCTGTAATTAAAGTTTATTTTGATACCTTTTGTATTATTTCAAAGTAATATTTAAAAGAATAAAAAAGAACAATTTATTTGTTGAAAGGCATGGCCATGTTGGAAGAAGGTTAAACAATTAAATTATAATAAAAAAAAGTTTCACTTACTGTCTGGTAAATGATTATGTCTCAAACTTGATTATTGCTTCCTAATTTGCACAATTTTATTGATTTTGTGTCGTACAAAAATAAAACAATAAAACAACATACAAACGTTTTCCGTAGCGTTTCACCGGTTCACCGAACCCCTCTCGTGACGTCAGGACTCCAATCCCCATCCGGCTAATCAAAACCGACTCTAAGGCCATCCGAAACCTTGCACTTCACTCCAACCTACACCAGTCGGCAAATGGGCTGCACGATGGCCGGACAAAAGGGCTTGGACACGACTCAGACCATATCTCGGACAGTACGCTGCATTCTCGTCGACCTCAGTGGCACGGTTCACGTTGACGACGAACTCACAAAAGACGCCCTCCCAACACTGAAAGCGTAAGTTTTAAAATTGCAACTTAAATTTAAGTACTGGCGTTCGAATACACAAAGTACCTCACATCACGTCGGACAAGGACGAAGTACCCTGCGTATTGGACGCACTGGAAGTCTACCGATTCAAAGTTCCTCACCAAGCCTCCTATCTGCACCAAGCTGAACCAATAATTTGGAACGCATCTCTTCCGAATCACAAAAATCGGAACGAGGTGTTCAAAAAGAGGTATTGATAAAGATAGACAGAGAAAGGGTGAAAGATATAGGAAATCTATCGTTTCTCATGTCGTCGAAAACTTTTATAAAGGTGGCTCCTGTTGCGTTGTTTCTGTTGGTTAGGAATGGATTGGGTATGACATGACAGTCTTGAAGTTCCTCGATCTGCACCAAGCTGAACCAATAATTTGGAATGCATCTCTTCCGAATCACAAAAATCGAAACGAGGTTTTCCAAAAGTAGTTTTTGATAACGAGAGGACGACCTCCTTCAATACTGTCACAGTCCTTGGTAATGTGACTGAATTGGTCGTGAAGGAAATTTGAGACCTCCTGTAAAACCTTATGTCAGTGTGTAGACTTATTTAAGGTTGTTTTGCCCTGGTGGCTTTAAAATAGGTTGAAAGCTTGACAGTAGCAATTGAATTTGCTTTCTTCTTGAAGACAGTACTGTAATTTAAGTTTGCTTTGCCATTATGCCCTTAAAGTAGGTCGAAAGCTTGGCAGTAGCAACTTAATTTGCTTTCTTCTTCAAGACCGTACTCTGCTTTAAGGTTGCTTTGCCCTGATGACCTTAAAGTAGGTCGAAAGCTTGGCTGTAGGAAATAAATTTGCTTTCTTCTTGAAGACCGTACTCCGATTTAAGGTTGCTTTGCTGATGGCCTTAAACGAGGTCGAAAACTTGGCAGTAGCAACTAAATTTTCTCTTTTCGGCCACTAATTTCATAAGGAATTTCTGTTCATAGATGTCGAAACCTCTACACTCAGTTGTTGCAGTTAAACTGGCTGCGGATGATGATCGAAAAGCCTCTGTAACGCATCCCACTTGTGCTCAATGGTATTGAGGTCTGGGGGAAGGGGCAGATGGTAAATTCCCAGGTTTTGTAAACGTTGATGAACAACTTTTCTTCTGTGAGGTCTGGCATCCAGAAATAGAAAATCCCTGCCAATCAGATCCCTGGTTTGAGGGATGTATTCCTCGATAGTTTCTTGGACATAGACTGCGGTGAGGTTGCCGTCAACAATTTTGAGTCCAGTTGGTCCAGACACCGCCTCCTCCAAACTGCACTGAAGGGAGCGCGAACTGGGGCATTGTAAGCATCCCCTGTTCTCGGTAGGCACTTCGGCGCCTGCTAGTAATCATACAGATAGAAACGCGACTAGTTAGTAAACATAACAGCATTCCAATTGGTGTTCTCTTCCAGACGCTCGCTGCACCATATTCTCCTGAGTTGTTGGTGGCGGGCTGTTGCTCCAAGTCGTCTCAAAATGGCATTTGGCGGTCACTATGGACAGGTTTCCTCTGGAGCAATGAGGAATTTTTGTCCTCCCTTAGCGTCGTAATGCATTTAGATCCACTACCAGGCCTCATGTTGGCACTTCCAGTCTCCCATTACAAGTCTAAAATTTGAACAACCAGACTCATTTTGAAGTACACTTCAGTTTTTCAAGCAGAAATTACCCTTAAAAGAGGTTACACTGGCAAAAATCCTCATAAGAGCTGATAGCCAAGCAGCTTTAAACTTTTAGCGTATAAAAAAATCACGATAAAATTGAGCAATGAAAACTTTTCCAAAACCTGGGGATACACAACAAAACAAGATACTCTGGCCGGAGCATGATCTGCAACACCAAACATAGGCCCCGAACCTATACTTGGGATAACAAATACAAATATAGAATCCTCCATCACCGAATGGATCGAAATTAAACAAAAGGAGAAGTGGATAAACTCTAACAGCGCTAGACACAGTAAACTTTAAAACAACCCTCACCATGACTGGCAAACTCACTGCTGCAGTTGGAGAGGACCAGAGTCAGAGTGGTAGGACCAACATTGGCATCTGATAAAACATCTACGTAACATGGTCATATCCCATTTGCAGATTATCTAATGAGGAGGAAGAGACAGCAACTCTTATCATCTACGAATGCGAAGGAACGGCTCAATGGAGATTTATCCTAGGATGCAGAAACAACCTAGGGAAATGTCGGGGCAATAGTCAATGGTCTGATAGTTTTGAGAAGAAGGATTGAGGTTATTGCACTGAACTATGGAACTAGGAAGGTACAATAAGCCAGAAGGCTGTACTGTCTGGAGAGCACAAACCCCGCTTCCTGATCCTCATCACCATCAGGGGCTTATGGCTACTTAATTATGTGATGATTTTGACAGGAGGTTAGTCTATTAGGAGTAAAGGTTGTAAGAAGTTCAGGTCTACTTGAATGAAAGATTATCAGGTTGTCAAAAGAAGAAAAGATTAAAATCGGAATAGGTTATCAGCTTTCAGTATCATTACGAGTGATAGGATTATCCGGTCACTGGCATCTGACAAAACATGTATATAACACGGGCGTATATATATTGATGATCCCGTTTGTAGTATGTAATGAGGAGGAAGACCCACCCATGTCATCTTCGAATGCGAACCAACGGCTCGAGGGAGACATAAACTAGCGTACAGAAAAAAACCCTGAAGAATGAAACTGTAGCAACATTAGTCAGTGACCTAATACTTTTGAGAAGGATTGAATCGATTGCACAAAACTAGGGAACTAGGAAGGTACAAACCAAAAGGCTGCAGTGCCTGATGAGTACTAACCTCGTTTCCTAATATCCTCATCATCATGACCTCTCATCCATTTCGTAATTCCAATCTTTTACCTTAAACGTAACTCCGTTTGGTCTGTCCAGTTTGCGGGAGAGCGACTGCCACATACGCTTCGTGACAAACACGACGAAAGAGTCCAAGAGGCAGCTCCGAGACCGCCTGTACAGGCTCGGTTTCAAAATCCACGAATACGAAATCTACTCTTCACTCGTCGCGGCGGTGAACCTCATAAAAAAGGAGAACCTGAGGCCCTTGCTGCTCGTCGACAACCAAGCCATGGAAGACTTCAAAGGTTGGGTTTTCCTTTGGTTATTTTTTCAGATCTGACTTTGGATTTTCTGTCTTTTAGACGTTTGCGACTTCGAAGGACATCCGAATGCCGTGGTCATCGGCCTCGCGCCTGACAAGTTCAACAGGCACTCGCTCAACGTCGCGTTTAGGTATATTTAAAGACCTTTGTGATTTCTTTTCATGTCCTTGTGTTTTTCGACCAGGCTGATCATCGAAGGGGCGAAGCTGATAGCGATCCACGAAGGCAGGTTCTACAGGTCTCGGACCGGGCTGTCCCTCGGGCCAGGCCCTTTCGTCAAAATGTTGGAGTACGCTACGAACAAGCCGGCGACTATAGTTGGCAAACCAAGTACCGAGTTCTTCAAGCATGCTCTAGGAGACATCCCGCCATCCCAGGCGGTCATGATAGGCGATGTAGGCTCAAACGCGGATCCTCCGAGTATTTGACACCTTTGATTTTTTTTTTTTTTTTTTAATTTAAGGATGTCAGGGACGACATCAAAGGAGCCCAGGACCTAGGGATCAGAGGGTTCCTCGTCAAGACGGGCAAGTACAGGCCAGGTGACGAGCACTTGATCGAAAACCCGCCCTACTCCGTCGTCGAGAATTTCGCCGAAGCAGTCGAAAAAGTGCTCAAGAGCTCACGTATCTGAACACAAACACTAGGAAAAAACATAAAAACATGAATGTAAAAAAATATCTTTTAAAAAAGAATGTAGTTAATTTTATCTAAAATGTTATTTATATTGATTGTTTTAAATAAATAAATAATATCGTTGACAGACCTGCTGGGGGTGGGCTATTCTCGGGGAAATTTCTTCACCTGTGCGAGTTAAGTTGGCCGCATTGCCGGCTGCCCTGAACGGTGAACCGCGCCTCGGGGAGTCCAGCTCCAGTCTGGCCTCGGCACGCGACCGCGTTACACGAAATGTGACGGACCCGAGAGAGAAAGGGGAAAAAAGAAGAAAAAGAAAATAATGAAGAAGATGCGTCTTCGCGTCCTCTGCTTCGACCTGGGATCGAAGAGTGATGGATACGACCTTAGGTGGGTGAAGAATTTTTATTCGACGTTATATTGTGAGGAAGGCGTGCTACGTCTCGGTTTACGGTCACCGAATTCAATACCCATGTGAAGATATCTCGTGAAGGACGATTTCCTTTTGTTTTATGGAATCGGCAGGCCATTTCCTGCTATTATCCAAGGGGGTTTGCACGTATATAGTTGGGAATATTGAAAAAAAATTCTTCCAACATCGTGTATAATATTGGGTTTCAGGAAATTTATGCAAAGAAACGCATCAGCAAAAGAAGGAAAAGACTGTCCTTCATTCGATATCTCGTCCTTGGACACTCTGACCTGCGACAACCTGTACATTGAGGAAATCCTGTGAAGTACAATTTTAAAAGTGAAATAGGGTTGATTTTCTTAAATTTAGAAAGAGGACTTAGAACTTCGAAGAAATACGAACCTACACCTTTTTCTCAAATCTGACCTTCCTTGATTTGAAAATCCTGGATCTTCTTTGGGTTTGACATGGAAATAACTTAAGAAAACGACAGACTGACTGTATAACAATGATTTTACGATAGATATACAAAGAAACAGAGCTGTATGCGATGAAAAACAGACGATTTCAGCTAAAACATTGATTTTCTTCCAAATTTTTCGACCTATCACTGATGATATGAGGAAATGTTGACACGCACAGTTTAAGAGGGAAATATGCTTGATTTCCTCGGAGAAATTGGGTGGAAATTCGACAATATTTTACCCTAGTGATATCTGACTTTACATACGAAATTCCTGGAAAATCTCTGGTTTGACTTTGGTAAAAATTTAAAGATCCGGTATATTAACGTTTTTCCTTTGGACATCCTGTATAATAATCAGTTTTAGGTAAGCTGGATGAGGTTAAAAAAAAAATAAAGAAAAAACTGACGATTTCAACTAAAGCAGTTTTTCTTCCAAATTTTTCCACCTTTGACTCATAACAAGTATGACCTGCGACATTTCGTATATTGCAGAAATCCTGTCAAGTATCTTGCAAAGGTGAAATAAGGTTGATTTCCATAGAAAAATTAGGAAGGAAAACGAAAATACACAGCCTTCGTGATTTGAAAATCCTTGATTATCTTTGGGTTTGACATGGAAAATAGAAAGAACGATAGATTGACGTTTTTCCTTGCGACATCCTGTATAATAATGATTTTCGGTAACATATACAAAAAATAAAGCTGGATGAGCTGAAAGACAGACGATTTGAGCTAAAACTCAGCTTTTCTTTCAAATTTGTCGATCCATGACTGATGGCACTATGGCCTGTAACACCCTGTATATTGAGGAAATCCTATCAAGTACAGTTTATAAAAGTGAAGTAGAGTTATTTTCCTTAAATAAATTTGGAATAAAAACGGAAATACTCCTACTTGTGAAATCTGACCTTCCTTGATTGGAAAATCGTGGATCATCTTCGGGTTTGGCATGGATAAACAAAAGAATACCTTTTTTCCTTGCGACACTGTAGTGGTTTGTTACTGCTATAATAATGGGTTGTTAGGCTTCACAAAGAAACAGAGCTGTACGCGAGGAAAGACAGACGATTTCAGCTAAAACACTGTTTTTCTTCCAAATTTTTCGACCTAGGACTGACTGATGACACTATGACCTGTTATACCCACACAGACACGCACTGTTTAAGAGTGAAATATGCTTGATTTCCTTGGATAAAATAGGAGGATATTCGAAAACGCATGACCCTTATGATATCTGACCTTCCTAGGTTCGAAAATCCTGGATAATCTTCGGGTTTGACATTGGTGCATACTTAAAGATCCGGTATATTAACGTTTTTCTCTGCAACATTGCATAATAATCAGTTTTTAGGTAAGATGTACAAAGAAACAAAGGTGGACGAGACGAAATATCAGCTCGAACACCTTCCTTCAACCAAATTTTTCGACCTTGTACCGATGACACTTTGATCTGCGACACCCTGGATATTGGGGAAATACTGTCACACACAGTTTTAGAGTGAAATGTGCCTGATTTGTTTGGATAAATTAGGAGGATATTCAAAATAAACTATCCTCCCGAAATCTGACTATCATCGATCCCGGACAATCTGGGGGTATGACAGAAAAACATGAAAGATCCGATAAGTTACGGTTTTTTCTAGCGACGCCCTGTATAATAATGGGTTGTTAGGCATGAATAACAAAGAAACAGAGCTGAATTGGGTGAAAAACGGACTGTTTCAGCTACAACACTGCTTTTCTTCCAAATTTTTGGACCTACGACTGATTACACTATGACCTGTGACATCCTGTATATAGAAGGAAATACGTACAGTTTTAAAGTGCAATATTCTCGATTTGCATAGGAAAATTTGAATACAAAACGAAAATACACTATCAGCCCTCGTGATGTCTGACCTTCCTAGATTTGAAAATCCTGGATAATCTTCGGGTTTGACTGGAAAAAATTTAAAAGATCTGGTATATTAACGTTTTTCCTTGCGACACCATGTAAAATAATGGGTTATTAGGGATGATTAACAAAGAAACAGAGCTGAATTGGGTGAAAAAAGACGATTTCAGCTAAAACACTTTCTTTCTTCAAGGTGCATGGACCGATGACACTGACCTGCTATATAAATTGAGGAAATCACGTCAAGTACAGAAGTATAGATTAAAAGTGCAATATGCTTGATATTGCAATTGCTTGGATAGATTAGGGGGAAAATCGAAAATACACACCCTAGTGATAGCTGACCTTAGACCTTCACAGTCGTGCTCAAGTTGCGTTACAAGAGGACCGGAAGAGCACCCTTCACATGCTTAGGTCGATACGAAGTACTCTTGTTTTGGCAACACCCTTGGCAACCGGATTAGGGACGGGCCCTGGGAAAGCATAGCGGAACGAGACGGGCCGAATGAAGAATCGACTCCGCTCCAGTTTCCGCGATTGTTCGACTTTTTCGCCTGTAACGGCACGAGCGAGCCGGCTAAGAAACGATCTTTCGACGCGTTGAAATGTCGAAAAAAGAAAGTATGCCGAGAATATGCTGAAATAAGGTGTATTGAACCCATAACCAGTGGACATCAGAAGGAATAGCTGGGTGTTTAATTTTACTTTCTCTTCATGATTTGTACAACGAAATGAAGCATATTGCACTGTACATAGGATTTCCTTAATATTGTCCGGGATCAACAATGATCAGATATCAAGAGATTGTGTATTTGGAATATCTTCCTAATTTATCCAAACACTTCACATTTCACTCTTAAACGGTATTTGACAGTATTTCCTAAATATACAGGGTGTAGCTGGTCAGTGTCATCGGTCCAGGTACGAAACCTTGAAGAAAGAAAGTGTTTTAGCTGAAATCGTCTTTTTTCCATCCAATTCAGCTGTTTCTTTGTTAATCATCCCTAATAACCCATTATTATACAGGGTGTCGCAAGGAAAATCCCGGATCTTTTAAATTTTTACTAGTGTCAAACCCGATGATTATCCAGGATTTTCAAATCTAGGAAGGTCTGACATCACGAAGGCTGTGTATTTTCGTTTTGTCTTCAAATTTACCTAAGGAAATCGAGAATATTGCACTTCAAAACTGTACGTGACAGTATTTCCTCCTAAATACACGGTGTCACAGTCATAGTGTCATCGGTACAAGGTCGAAAAATTTGGACGAAAGGTGTTCGAGCTGAAATCGTAGGTTTTTCGTCTCATCCACCTTCGTTTCTTTGTACAACTTACCTAAAAACTGATTATTATGCAATGTTGCAGAGAAAAACGTTAATATATTGGAAGTATGTACCAATGTCAAACCCGAAGATCATCCAGGATTTTCGAACCTAGGAAGGTCAGATATCATAAGGGTCGTGTATTTTCGAATATCCTCCTATTTTATCCAAGGAAATCAAGTATATTTCATTCTTACTGTGTGCGACAGTATTTCCCCAATATACAGGGTGTCGCAGATCAAAATGTCATCAGTACAAGGTCGAAAAATTTGGACGAAAGAAGGTGTCCTAGACGAAATGGTCTGTTTTTAGTCTCATCTACTTTATTTTTTTGTATATCTTAGCTAAAAACTGATTATTATGCAGACTGTTGCAAGGAAAAACGTTAATATACCGGATCTTTTAAATTTTTACCAGTCACACCCGAAGATTATCCAGGATTTTCAAATCTAGGAAGGTCAGACATCACGAGGGCTGATTGTGTATTCTCGTTTTGTATTCAAATTTACCTAAGGAAATCGAGAATATTGCACTCTAAAACTGTACGTGACAGTATTTCCTCCAAAATACTGGGTGTCACAGGTCATAGTGTCATCAGTCTAAAAATTTGGAAGACAAGCAGTGTTGTAGCTGAAACAGTCCGTTTTTCACCCAATTCAGCTCTGTTTCTTTGTTATTCATGCCTAACAACCCGTTATTATACAGGGCGTCGCTAGAAAAAAACATAATTTATCGGATCTTTCATGTTTTTATGTCATACCCCAAGATTGTCCGGGGTCAATGATAATCAGATATCGGGAGGATAGTTTATTTTGAATATCCTCCTAATTTATCCAAACAAATCACGCACATTTCTCTGTAAAACTGTGTGTGACAGTATTTTCCCAATATCCAGGGTGTCGCAGATCAAAGTGTCATCGGTACAAGGTCGAAAAAATTTGGTTGAAGGAAGGTGTTCGAGCTGAAATTTCGTCTCGTCCACCTTTCTTTGTACATCTTACCTAAAAACTGATTATTAGGCAATGTTGCAGAGAAAAACGTTAATATATCGGATCTTTAAGTATGCACCAATGTCAAACCCGAAGATTATCCAGGATTTTCGAACCTAGGAAGTCAGATATCATAAGGGTCATGCGTTTTCGAATATCCTCCTATTTTATGCAATGAAATCAAGCATATTTCACTCTTAAACAGTGCGTGTCTGTGTGGGTATAACAGGTCATAGTGTCATCAGTCAGTCAGTTCGAAAAATTTGGATGAAAAACAGTGTTTTGGCTGAAATCTTTCAGATTTTCAACTCATACTGCTCTTTTCGTTCGAATATGTTTCCTGAAACCCATTTTTATTCAGGTGTCGCAGGGTAAAAAAAAGTATTCTTTTCTATCCTTACTTGTATATCCATGTCCAACCCAAAGATAATCCAGGATTTTCAAATCTTGGAAGTTCAAATATCTAGAGAGTAGTTTATTTTCGTTTTGACTCTAAATTTACTTGAGGAAATCAAGCATATTACACTCTTAACGTATACGCGACAGTATTTCCTCAATATGCAGGGTGTCACAGGTCATAGTGTCATCGGTCCTTGCACGAAACCTAGAAGGAAGAGAGTGTTTTAGCCGAAATCGTCCGTTTTTCATCCAATTCAGCTCTGTTTCCTTGTGAATCATGTCTAACAACCCATTATTATAATGGGTGTCGAAGGAAAAAAGATCGGTTTTTGAATCCTTAAGTCTATGTCGAACCCGATGATGATGCAGGACATTCCATCAAGGAAGGTCAGATTTCACAAGTAGGTGTCTTTCCGTTTTTCTTCCTAATTTATTTAAGGAAATCAACCCTATTTCACTTTTATAAACTGTACTTGACAGGATTTCCTCAATATACAGGGTGTCACAGGTCGTAGGTCATCGGCCCAAGGTCGAAAAATTTGGTGTTTTAGCTGAAATCGTCTCTCTTTCATCGCATACAGTTCTGTTTTGTTTGTGAATCATGCCTAACAACCTGTTATTATGCACGGTGTCGGAAGGAAAAACGTCAATATACCGAATCGTTCGGTTTTTCTACCGAATCCTACCGAAGATTATCTAGGGTTTCCAAATCTAGGAAATTCAGATTTGACTAGCAGGTGTATTTAGGATTTTTTTCCTAATTTATCTAAGGAAATGAACCATATTTCACTTTTAAACTGTACTTGACAAAATTTTCTAAAAAGACATATGTCGCTGGTCATAATGGGATCACTCTTAGGTCAAAAAAGTTGTAAGAAAAATATTGTTTTACTGCAATCGTCTTTTATTATTATTTTTTTTTGTTTACGTTTATCTACAGGATTCCAAACGTAGGTCGAAAAACATGGAAGAAAGAAAGTGTTTTAGATGAAATTATCTGTTTTTCATCTCATCTAGGTTTGTTTCTTTGTATGTCTTACCTAAATTCATTATTATACAGGGTGTCGCAAGGAAAAGCAACAATCTATCATATTTTAATATGTCATTGTTTCACTGCAATCGTCTTTTTTAAATTATTTTTTTAATTTACGTTTATCTACAGGATTCCAGACTTAGGTCGAAAATATGGAAGAAAGAAAGTGTTTTAGAAATAGTCTTGTTTTTCATCTCATCCAGGTTTGTTTCTTTGTATGTCTTACCTAAATTCATTATTATACAGGGTGTCGCAAGGAAAAGCATCAATCTATCGTATCTTAATGCACAGCGTGTCGCTGGTCATAGTGGGATCAGTCATAGGTCAAAAAAGTTGGAAGAAAAACATTGTTTTAAGCTGCAATCGTCTTTTTTTAATTATTATTATTTTTATTTATGTTTATCTACAGGATTCCAAACTTTTTATCCTCGTCAAGATTACAAAGGGTGTCGTTTATCATCAGGCTTTTTTTAAGGCTGACTTACATCGTCGTCACAGGCTTTGCCTTTTGGACTGGAACGCTTTATCCCAGACGGGGCTGTATTTTTTCCGGACGCCCCCGTGCCTTTGCGTCGTGACGGGCGAAGCGAAACGCCCCGGACGACGCACCGAAAAAACCCAGCCCACCTTTATTCACGAGAGGTGTTTGCACTTTTACGTGAGAATGTACTATTTTTTTATTTTTTATTATATCTTTTCTTGTGGATAGGTCACGCTCGTGCATCCATTAATTGGGCCCCTTGTAAAAATAGGAAGTTCTTTTCTGCTCCTTCCTAAATCTGCGGAAGCCCGGCCAAAATTGGTCCAATTTTGAAAGTCCTTGGAGGTTTTGATACTCTCGCCGTTATTTTATTCTTGTCCGTTTTTCCATCGGATTCCGTTTCATTTACTCACCTGTACCCTTGTCGGGATAACATCCTTGAAATCGCACCCGAGTGAGGGAGAGAGAGCACGAGAACGCCGGGTCGGAAGCAAGAAGGCCGACTGGTTTTCGAGAGTTAAGTAATCCCGAGCCCAGGACCGCTAGATTATTGCACAACGTGTAATTACACTCAACCCAGATACTGATTTGAAAAAAATAAAAACGAAACAACAAATTTGCAACTTGTTTAAAAATCCTACTTAGTTTTCTTGCTATATAGATGGAAACTGTGCCAAGTGAAAACTTATAGACCTAAAGTGAATTTTTTCATTTTTAAAGCACTCATTTAGGTTGGCTTTTTAACATGGCATGTTTTGTAGGAAGGGTTAGTAGGTTGATAATGATGAACGTCCAAGCTCATATGACCTCTGACTATATTATTACACTATCCATTGGTTTTTTGGTTGTTGTTTTTATTTTAGTGTGTTTTGTTTTGCTTAATTTGACAAATAAACGTGACCTTTATCCATTGCGTATGCACCGTGTACGCAGTTATGTATTGAGTCACGTGCATCGGGTTCTTTTGATTCTGGTTTCCAACTCGTAGCCGACCGGAGATCCGCGGTACGTGAAAAAGTGCTCGAGTCGGAAACCCCAGACCGGTCATCGGAACGCGAGTGGAGAGCTTTCGGTTTCCGAAGGGTCGGAAGTAACGGTACGACGGCGGATTAGCGGTCCCCCCTGGACTTATCATAATCTGACCCGAAAGATGAAAACTGCTTCCTGTCCTATGACCTCTCCCAGTTCGTAATAAAAAAACCTTGTCCTGTCAACAAGACCGATTGTCCCTATTGCGATGCGCGGAAGGCCGATTGGGACCGTCGAGCCTCGCCTCGGTCATTTTCGACTCAGCTTGACACGATTGTGAAACGAGTTTTGCAACGTTCTCGATTGCTAATCCAACGGAGAAAATCTATTTCTTTTTTTAGATTTAATAAAATAAAAGATCAACTCTGACCCAAAACCTCCTGAGATTCGGCTCACGTAATTGTCTACTTCCTGTGACATTTAATTTCGTCTCTAATCAACAGTCAAAGCTGGTATTTCCTGGCGAATATTCAACAATAGCCTTATTATTATTATTACCCTCAAGCGAGCAGGAAAGGTTATTTCCTGGCTATGAAAACCTAACCTGAGATATATTATTTCACCTTTAAAAAAACGATAAAAGAAATGACCGTTTTGATTCATTTTAAAATATCAATATCTAGGCAATACGGATTAGAAACAACGAGGAATTTTCTTAACTAAATTTATCACTTCTATATCTATATATTGATTGAAAACATCGATTCCTCAACTGCCCAACAACGATGTCTAAAATGCGTTGATAAGAAAAATCGATGTTTGTTTTATACCGCCATCTAGGATATATCGATAGGAAAACATCGATTCCTCTGCTCCGCCATTTTAAAACTTCATGGTTTAGGAATGAACGTTTGAAATCGAAGTATGGTAGATATCGATCAATCAAAATGGCGGAACTTAGGAATCGATGTTTTATATCGATATGCCCTAGATATCGATGTAGGTCTGAAATCGATTAATGAAAATTGTGGATATTAAGAATCGATGTTTTCTATCAAAATATCTTAGGTATGGATGTAGATCAGACATAGATAAATCAAAACAGTGAGTTTAGGAATCGATGTTTTATATTGCTATGTCATAGATATCGATAAATCATATTGGCGAAGATTAGGAATCGATGCTTCCTATCATATATCCGTAATATTTATGTTGGGTGTACATCGATAGTTGAAAATGGCTGAGTTTAAGAGTCGATGTTTTATATTGCTGTCACAGATATCGATGTGGGTTAAACATCGATAAATGAAAATTTTGGATATTAGGAATCGACGTTTTCTACCGATATATCATAGATATCGATGTAGATCAGACATAGATAAATCAAAATAGTGAGTTTAGGTATCGATGTCTTCTGTCGAAGCATCATAATTTTCTTAAATCGTTGTTGGGCAGACTCGATATTTTAAAGTGGTAGAGAGGAATCGATGTTTTATATCGATATATCCCCGATGTCGATGGTCTGAATCGATACATTTTAGATTTTGCTGTTTTAAATCGATATAACCTAGAGTATTAGCAGAATCTACGTTTTGACTCGATAAATCCAACATTTATCGGTATGACATACTCTATATTTTCAAATGGCGGAGCTTAGGGAGCAATTGTTTAATAATTGGCAAGAAATCGACGTAAAGCAGATAGTTTTTTTTAAAATGATAGACAATCGATTTTCCGAATCGATATATCACAAAGGACTATGTAGTAAAATGGCGGAATTTATGAATCGATATTTTCTATCGATATGATGCAGATATCCGTATCTGAGACTACTTGATTTAAAAGATCGAAGTCTTAAATCCATAGTATAAATATCGATGTTTTAAGATGACTCGTGTTGCCCATGCATCGATTCCTTACCCCACCATATTAACATATCGATTGCTAAGCGTCTCCATTTTAAAATATCGATATCAGCCCGACGTCAGGCTGCAATAATAAAAAACATCGATTCCTAATCTCCGCCATTTTGAATTATCGATTGTCTTTCTTACATCGATTTCTAAAACATGTTCATCGATGGACAATATCGATTCCGTGGCTTTAGTGTTTTGTAATATTGATGGCTGTTTTAGGTCGATAACTAGGATTCATTGATGGAAAACATCCATTCCTAAGCTCCGCCATTTTAAAATATCGATATCTTCTTTATATCCCAATTAGGATATCAATAGAAAATATCGATTCCTAAGATTTATTATTTTATACATCAGTGGAAACATCGATTCCTAAACTCTGCCATTTTAAAGTATCGATGCCTGACCTGCATATTTATGTTGCATCGATATCTGAATTTCGTTGATTTAAAACATCACTTTAATTAATTAATTAAATGTTGAATCGATTCAAATTTTTATAAGGAAATTTTATTATTGATAATTATTGATATCCGGTATGATGGTATTATATTTGGGAGCAATATATTTCATAGTATCGATTAATTATCGAATTTTTGAGTAATATTACGTTGCAAAGTATCGATTTATCCTCGATATCGATATATGGGTCTAATATTTTCGATGATTACAAGTAAAGTTATTAGCGTTCTAATCGATTCTCGATATATACGAAATTTCGATTATTTGTTTACAAATTATGCTCGTCTTTCGATACGTGTCGGTATTGCATATATAGAAAAATTTGTATTTTGATGATAGTTTTTTTTTCCAGCTCGAAAAGCTCTAGAGTCGCCAGGTGCATCCCGAGGGAGGGCACGACCGACAGAAAGTACAGGTAACCGATTTTTTATTTTATTTCAGATTAATTTCTTTTTACTGTTTATGCCACCTGGCGTCGATCCGCGGCACACTCTTCATTAGATAGTTCTCCGGCCTTTATACAGAGTGCATCGGGACGTCGAAACCGCGCGAAAGTGAAATCGCTTCCCCCCCTCCCACCACCATTCGCGACGTACTGCCAAAGGACGACGTCCTGCTTCTCGCAGACCATTGTGCCTCTTCTTCTTTTTTAAAATGACAGATTCCAAAAGCCACAACAAACATAGAGAAAAAAGGGGGCTGAGGGTCGCAGAATCCGGGACACGGAACAAATGCCGATGCCACGCGTTCCTCCCTGGTTGGAGTGATGTCGGCCTTGAACCTCAAGTCCTGGGACGAAAAGATCTGCCAGTCGTCTGACTTAATCACTCACTGGGATTTCGCAGGAGGTCCGGTCAAAATTTCTTCCTAAATTCTAAATTTACTCCTTCTACTGGTCAGTTATGTGAGCTCTTTTCACCCCTCAGTAAAAAAGGTCAAATTCGAAAGCTCTTTCAAACTACTGATATCAAATCCTTGGCATTCGATACTTCCTTTTTACTCCTGATCTAGCGTCAAATATGTTAGCTTCTTTGTATTTCTGTTTTGATTTTACTTACAATTGTTCAGCTATTTGGTTCTTTAAATGCTACGATATGTGCTCCTTTCACATCCGGTTCTAAAACCAGTCAAATATGGTAACTCTGTTTTGCTCCTGTCTCGATTCTAAATACGTTTGGCTAACTCCTGATTTGCTCCTGTCCAAAATATCAAATATGTGAGCTCCATTTGCTCCTGTTTTGAATCTACACACTTTTTGTTAGCTCCTGTCCAAAAACTGTCAAATATGTGAGCTCATTTAGCTCCCGTTTTCTACGATTATACGTACATTTTGTTAGCTCCTATTTTATTCGTAATACAGAGCTTCGATATGAAAGCTATTTGCAGCTCTTGTCCCAAAAATTGTCACAGTTGTGGGCTCATTCGGCTCCTGTTTTGATTCTACGTACATTTTATTAGCTTCTACTTTTTTTCTAATCCAAAAGCTTTCATAAATGAGCTCTTATGTCCTACAAAACTTCGACATGAAAGCTATTTGCAGCTTTTGTCCCAAAAATTGTCACAGTTGTAACCTCATTTGGCATCCTTTTTTTCCACATACATTTTGTGAGCTCCTGTCCAAAATCTATCAAATATGTTAGCTCTTTTTGCTCCTCTTTCGATTCTACATACATTTCGTTAGCTGTTGATTTTCTTCTGTCCAAAAACTGTCCAATATGTGACCTCCTTTGGTTCCTCTTTTGATTCTACATACATTTTGTTAGCTCCTGTCTAAAACTGTCAAATGTATGAACTCCATTTTCCCCCCTATCTCGAGAGGAACTGCATTTTGTCTGCTCCCATTTTCTCCTGATCCAAAATTTTGATATATGACTCCGTCGAAATTCCTGTCTTGCTTGTATCAGCCTTTCGTCCCATTTTTCTCAAAGTTCCTTGCAGCTCAAGTCGCAAGTACCGTCGAATTGGTTAACTCCTTTTACTGTCCTGATCAAAATTCGATATGCCAGGTCCTAGCAGCTCCTTTTCCAAAAACCGTCAATTGTATGAGCTCCTTTGGCTCCTGTCTCGATTGTAGCTACATTTTATGAGCTCCTATTTGGCACCAGATCCAAAAGCTTCGATATGAAAGCTACTTGCAGCTATTGTCAAAAAATTGTCACAGTTGTGAGGTCATTTGGCTCCTGTTTTGATTCTATGTATATTTCGTTAGCTCTTAAGTTGCTCCTGTCCAAAACCTGTCAAATATGTGACCTCCTTTTGCTCCTGTTTTGATTCTATATACATTTCGTTAACTCCTGTCCAATAGCTGTCAAATATTTGAGCTCTTTTTGTTCCTGTTTTAATTTACATACATTTTGTTAGCTCCTGTCCAATAACTGTCAAATATGAGAGCTCCTTGTGCTCCTGTTTTGATTCTACATGCATTTTGTTAACCCCTGTCCAAAAATTGTCAAATATGTGAGCTCATTTGGCTCCCGTTTTGATTCTACGTACGTTTTGTTAGCGCCTATTTTATTTCTGATACAGAAGCTTCGATATGAAAGCTGTTTGCAGCTTATGCCCCAAAAAATGTCGCAGTTGTGAGCTCATTTGGTTCCTGTTTTGATTCTATCTACATTTTTTTATCTTCTACTTATTTACTAATCCAAAAGCTTTGATATGTGAGCTTTTTTTTACCCCTGTCTCGATTGTGGATGCATTTTGTAAGCTCCTATTTTGGTTTTGATTCAAAATGGTTAGGGATGGTTAGGTATTTGAGCTGTTTGAACGTCCCTCCAATAGCCGGCGTTTATTTGAGCTTATTTTTCTCCGGTCTCGATTGGAGCTACTTTTTGTCACCTCATATTTATCTCCTGATCCTACATCTGTTGCATATGCTCCTTGAGGCTCCTGGTCGTGGAAATGTCCTCATTCGAAGGAGTGGTCAAAGTCGAACCGTGCATCCCCTCAAAGGTCATGACCGAGGCACGTTCCGGGCTGGCGGGCCAGCCATAAGAAGAAGGAAAATAAGAAGAAAAGTGAAAAAGAAAATTTAACTGCGAGCTTTCCTTGTAGACCCAGGGTCCGCTTAGCGTTCTCCTTTTTTCACCGGACAAAAGACAAAACAAAAACCCAACGTCCAAAAATTCTTCGACTGATTTTTTGAGGAATTTGAACGGTGCCCGGGACCTAGAACTTTTACCAATTAGAGCCGGGCTATTTTCGCTTCCCCCCTGAAGGCGCCAACGGTGGATTTTCCTAACGGGACGATTTTTCATCGGCCTTTTTCCTCAGGCCCGCGGTAACAGGACAAAAGCGCGCGTGTATTTTTTTCAAATTCCTCCTCGTCAAATGTACAAAGGAGAAAATAATCAATAAATTTATAATTAATTGGTTGAATTCTGTCTATGGAATTTTTTCCAAGGGCGTGCACTGGAGAAAAACGCTTACGAATCCCCAATTGAGTAAACAGCCGATACTGTTTATTTATGTTTACTTTTTTCGAAAAATACACCTCTGAGTTGTTGTTTGTTTAATTAATTGTTTAAGTATTTTTGTTTTTTTTTTATTAAACGATGACCTATCTTCTTCGTAGTGTTTTTTCTTTTGCTATGTTCAACCCCTCCGCAATTTGCAAAGGAATTTTTTTATATATACATGTATGTATACTTAAAGTGATTAAAATTAAAAAAAATATTTAATTTTTTTTTAATATTGTTAATAAACGGTTTAAGTTTCGAGATTTTTGCTGTCTTTCTTGGGTCGGATGGCCAGCGGGAGGGGAAAAAACGGACGGGAAAGGGAAATTCGACCTGAAAGGTTGGTAACATTGGGGCGACACCTGTTCGAGCCGTTGGCCCCCTTACGACAGTTGGCTCCGGGCAGCCTGAGTGTATGTAACGTTTTGCTTTTTTTTTGTCGAAACCGAGGGCAAAAAAAATTTTTTTTGGTTAAAAGTTTTTTTTCGTGTTTTTTGTTTTGTCTATTCTTTCTTTGGGATTATTATGCTATAAAAGGAGGCCTGTGAAAGGAGTAAAAAAGAGAGAGAAGAGTTCGGGAAAAGGCCCAACAAAATAAAGGTAAGCGTTGTGAATTTTCAAAAAAAAAAAAAAAAAAAAAACAATTACTTTATTTTTTACTTCTTTTTTTACCAAAAGGTAGGCAAATTTTTATTTATCCCGAAAAAAGGATTTCTTTTCACTTCCGGATTTTCTCTCTATCTCTCTTATGTCGTCTCTTTTGACCTAGATGGAGGAAATGAATCATTTGGATTTTTTTTTAAATTGAGGTCGACGATTTGGATTTAGGAGTGTCAAGATTAAAAAGGGATAATCGACCCCTTTTGACATTTTTTTGCACCAGCAAGTAAGGGAAAAATAGCGAGAACGGGCGGACCGATCATTTACCGCGACCCGGATTGTAAAAGAATTTTTGTTTATTACAAAAAAAATAATAATAATAACACGATAAGTAAATAAATCAAAAGAAATGATAAACAACACACAAATCCCAAGGTTTTTTCTCGCCTCTTAGCTCTCGGTCCGCTCGTTTTCGCTCTTTTGCCCACACGTCTGTTTTGATTATTGACACGTGGGGTACGTGAGATCCCGCCTTTCTCCCCCCCCCTTTAGTCAGACTCCGAAGTGAATTGATCAGGAACGCAGAAAATCGGGATCTTTACTGAAACTGTAGAGACGAAGCGAGAACGTGCGGACCCGAGTGTGTCGACTAGACAGTGCGTGGAATAGAGAAAGAATGAAAGAGAAGAATCAATGAAAAGTTTAGAGGGAGTGAGTAGTTAAAGAGATGAGGTCATATAGAGTGACCTAGGTTGATAGTGTTTCGTATGGTTAAGGTTCATGTTAGCTGGTAAGAGAGTGTTTCTGAATGTGAGTGTATGAAGTAAAGAAAGAAGAATATATAATGAAAAGGTTAAAAAGAATGAGTAAGTAGAGACAGGAGGTCATATAGTCACTAGGTGATAGTGTCAGCCAGGTTGAGGTAAGAGAGTGTTTCTGAATGTGAGTGTGTGGAATAGAGAAAGAAGTATAATCAATGAAAAGTTTAGAGGGAGTGAGTAGTTAGAGAGATGAGGTCATATAGTCACTAAGTGATAGGGTTAGCCAGGTCGAGGTCCTTGTTAGGTTGTAAAATAGAGGTTCTTAGTATGAGTGTATCAAGTAAAGAAAGAAGTCTATCCAATGAAAAGATAAAAAGAATGAGTAATTAGAGAAATGAAGTCATTTAGTCACAAGGTGATAGAGTCAGCCAGGTTGAGTTTCATGTTATCTGGTAAAAAAGTGTTCCTGAATGTGATTGTGTGGAATTGAGAAAGAAGTATATCCAGTGAAAGGTTTTGAGGGAGTGAGTAGTTAGAGAGATGAGGTCATATAGTCACTAGGTGATAGGGTTAGCCAGGTTGAGGTCCATGTTAGG